ATTTTATTAGTCATTTTACTTATTTATTAATTTTTGTTCCTCTTTCATGATGGTCTTCCATAGTGCTCCGGTACATCTAATTTTAGAAATTAAGTGCTAATGGTATTGCATCATCAGATGCAATAGAACTCTCTGAACCACTTTTCAACGACCAAAGCTGAAGGCAGAAAGGGGGTTAGTATTTGAAATACTGAGTTGAGATGTCTGTTGTTATGTTGACATGTCTGTGGAGGTTGCTGCTCAATTAAGATAAACTTTTTGTACTTTTTCAAAATGTGTGCATTAGGCAATACGATTAAAAATTTAATTTCATAAATAACAAATCCAATATAAAGTTAAGTTAAATAATAAATTTCATTCTATACAAGTTGATTTTTATTTTAAAAAATACTATACAGAAGGTAAACTGCCATTTCACGGAATTAATTTTTCATAAAATACCCTTTTAGCACATATCTTTTACATGTCAAATATTGGCAAGTTTCTTAATTTATAAATGATAAAAGACTTGAACAAAGTAAAAGAAAAAAAATTGGGTAACTGTATCATAAATAGAATTTAAAGCATATTATAAATAAGCAATTTTATATAAAACAAATCTTAAATTAATTGTATTTAATACATAAGAAAAAACAATAAATATTTTAATAACATTGTAATATATATCTGAGTGTTAATATTAAATAAAAGTATAAAACTGCTAAAACAGAGACTGAAGAATTTCATTACGGTAAATAAATTCGGGGAAAGTGCAGAATTGCCCAGTGCTTGGCGTGTTTTTAAGAACTGCACTAACTCGGTATCCATGTACACATCAACCTATTTCCACTTAAAAAAACATTGCAGAATTGCACAAAAATGGCAATGCACATTCTCTTGACTTTATCCACGTACACATCGACCTATTTTCACTTAAAAAGTCAAAGAAAATTGACAAAATTCCAATTCTTCTTACTCTTGTAAAAAGCATCAAACAAATAAGTGGGAGATTCTGCACTTCACCCAATAAATTCTTCAATATTTTTGCACTTTTATTTATTCAACATAAAGGTGGCATTAAAAATTAAATACAAAATATAAAAATCCAGGATGCTCTACTTTATGACATAATTTATGTTAGCATTATAGTACTTTCATATTAATGGGATATCACCACAGTTTCTTCCCGAAACTCTCTTATGCCAATCTCAATTATGCATACAGAACATAACAGCACGATAAATAAAATTTAGCTGAAGATTAGGATTTGATTAGATACCATGCTGCTTTCCTTATTATAAATAAAATACTTAAGAGCTGGTTTTATAATTATCTTTTAAAAATGCTAATCTTAAAAAAAGCATGTCTTATTCAATGAAACCCTATTCTTGAAGATGTTAAGCACTGCCAGAATTTGTGAAATATATCTAATACTACTAATGAACTTTGGTTTTCTCATTAATCATTTATGCAGTACGGGAAAAACATTTTGAAAACTGTTGAAATAAAAAGGACATGCAGATCCTGACATCATCCACATATAATATTTAGTGAATTAAAGAGATGGCATAGTTCATAATAATCCATTCATTTGATAATATCCTGAGTCAAAACATGGCAAAAAAATTTGAATCCTAATTTTTTAAACATCAAACCAAACTAGAGTATTCAGCACTCGGGGACAACTGACGATTTCATGACCCTCTTGTTGTCAGAATGAATATCTTCCCTTTTAAAATTTTACATCAGTCTAGTATCCCTCCAGCTATGCCACTGGACAGTTAATCAATTAATTATCAACTTTCAGTTAATATAATATTCCTGTCATCTGGTGTTCTATGGGGTCAGCTTTCTATTAAGTACAGAAAAAGTACTTCATTAATGCAACCATCTAAGTTTTATTGTCAGGTACATTTAAATATTCTTAAATATTAAACCCTCAGTCTGATACATTTCTTTCTTCTTTCATGAAAGCTTATAACGTATTTTTGAATGTGAATTGAGAGAATGGACATTATTATGCTTAAAATAATTGCTCATATTTTAATATTTATAACTTCATTTTACACAGTTCTTAAAATGTCGTTATAAAAATTTGGAATTTATTTATACAAGAAAAATATGTTTCAATTTTTTCTTGTTAAAAAAAAAAAAGAAAAATTTTAACATTTGCTACTAAAGGTTGTATTTCTTTTGCATAATTTTTAATACATTATGTACTTTTATTAGCAGAATTTCTATAGCCAGTGGTGAGCTAAAGCAGGTTAGCACTACCCCTTTGCCAAATTTGTCTCTAAATTATGAGTCCCTTTTTGTTTACTTATTTATTTATTTAAACCCTTTCTGGCACGCTACCTTTCAAAGTTGGAATTTCGATAAAAAGAAAGGTATGCAGTCTAATTAGGTCTAAAGGAGTTCACAAGTAAAATTTTGTGAAGATAGCACTTATCTTTTTAATTTTTTCAGGCACACTGATTGAATAGAGAATAGAGCTTTGAAAAGAGTGCTGAAACGAGCATTGCTGGGAAGCACATAAAAGAGTACGATATTTTGCCTACGATTAGAAAAACTCTAGATTCTGAATACCATTGCAGATTTAGCATTACCAGGGTGTCCCTAAAAAGCTCTTTTTGGGTTATATGATGATTACATGCATAAGAATGGGGAAAAAAGTAACTTGGGTATATGATATTTACATTTCATATTTACACTTTAGTCTACGTTTTGCATGGTGATACTTTTCAAAGAAAGTGACACCACCTCTGAAAAAGCCTAATCTAATATCGAATGTTTTGCACATGTGCCAGAATCCGTATCAGATTCACTATCTGAAAGGAATTCATGTAGCACATTCAGTGCTTCAGAAAGGGTCAGCCCTCTCCGATCCGTTTGAAAAATTATTTAAAAAGAATTAATATTATATCTACAATTAGAAATTATAAACTATAAAATAAAATTAAATAAACGTCTACAACTCAAAACTATTAAACGTAGTGCTAGCGAAACTTTGAACGAAAGCAAAAGAGAATTGCTCTGGTGAAAAACCAAACAGCTAACTGATAAAATTACCACAATTTGTTAGCTGACAACCAAATGTTCCCTTCCCTCCCCCCAAAAAAAGAGAAAACAGGAAATGAAACACAGATGCTGACCCACATTTCTGTTGTCAATGAACTGACCAATGATATGCGGATAAACAAAGAATACAGTCTCTCAGTTGTCCTAGAGTCTCGGTGAGCTCGGTCTGGGAACATCTCAGGTTCGCCGTTCGATTCAAGGTAAAAATTTAAAACTAATATAGAATGAGACTAGTATACAGCCAAAAATATAACATACAAATTTCTTTTCAAACAATTCCTTTTATACCTTAAAAAAAATCTGGAAGATTTTTTTGAAAATTCAGGGTCTCAAAAAACTAAAAATAGCTAAAATATATGGACTGGCTTGTGTTCAGCAGCCATCTACTACAAATAAAGAAGGTTCAGAGTAACCTATAAATCCTTTTTCATTCAATTTTTCTGTTTGTACAAAAGGAAATTTTTAGGTGCCACAAAAGGGTTAAAGAAAAACACAACTTGCATGTCATTTAGATATCTTTAAATGGAAAGCCTTTAAGAGAATTTAATTCGTAACCTTTTATGAAGACATTCCTGAAAAAAGCAAATGATATGAATGAAGAAAATAATGTATGGGAGCTTTTGACATAAATTGTGTCATATAAATAAATTTACTTATTCTTTTACTTTAAAAAATATTTATTTGTTTGCATACCATTATTTACATGTTTAGTTGTTGTAAAAAATAAAACATTTAATTAATCTCTGATATCAGAATTCTCTTATTTTTCAGTCCAAAGGGCATTAGCCCAGAAGGCCTATTAATTTCATTTTGACATTTTGTGTTGAAAACTTGTTTGAAAGTGTTGGTTCACTTTTCAAACTGTTGCCACCAAATATTACAGCCCTGTATGATATTTAAAGACATTAAATAATGAAGAATCTGGATAAAGGCATGTATGTTTCTTGTATCATGATAAAAAACAACGGTATCTAGAGCCATTCAATTTTGAATAATGTATGTTTAGACCTGAATATGGACATTTGGAAGCCCAAATTTCGAATTTGTTTAATTATCAATTTCATAAACTTTAGTGCATTTTTCATCAACAAACTCAGTTATTTCAAAACGAGCAATGGCAACACTGTACAGAAGAAAAAAACTTTTATTACCAGAGTGCGAGACTGTGTATCAAAAATTCTAAAGATATGCTCACTTTAAAATTACTTTGCGATATTGCTGTTGAATTGAATTTTATGGTTTAAGTGCGAAGAACATGATATTTAACAAATAAAGGTAACCCACAAAATGTTAAATAAATGCTCCAGTGGGCATAATGGAAAACCTGAAAGCATTCAGATTTTATTTAAATTTTTTTACAAAATAAAGTTTTAAAATATTGCTAAAATTTTCATAGCTCACCACTGATTACACTGAAATATTTATTTGTGTGTAAAATCTCGGATTGTATCAAATTGAAAAGGATCGGACTAAATGGCATACCATTAAAAGTAAAAGAAATTTGCTGTACGTGCATCAATGAATTTTTAACTAGCAAAGAATAAATGGGTAAAAGTATAGGCTAAAGTGCAGAATCGCCTACTTATTTGATTGGCGTTTGTTTGGTGCTTTTTACAAAGTAAGAAGAATTGGATTTTGGTTAATTTTCTTTGACTTTTTAAGTGAAAATAGGTCAATGTGTACATGGATAAAGTGAAGGGAGAGCGCAATGCTGGAATATTTTTTTTAAGTGAAAATACGTCGATGTGTACATGGATACCAAGAATGTGCAATTCTTAAAAATGCGTCAAGCAATGGGGGATTCTGCACTTTCCACAAAGTATATTTACGGGTACCCCTTGGTGAAAATGATTTGTTGTTTAAGAGACTGTACAGCACTAGAAAACAGAAATTCAATGAATTGATTATAGTGACAATAATGTGAAAGTAAAAGGACCATTTAGTATGTGAATGAATAAATCATGACTTGATCATTAAAAAAACTGCTTTTACATAATTTGCTAAATTGGAGATTACGACCAGTCTGGTGAATTAATTTTTCTATATCATTCATAGATTACTAATCATGGATTTAACGAATATATTTTTACATTTTTTATCTTCTGTCTGTGCATCTTCTTGCATTATATTATCAGTATGACAAGATTTCGAATCTTGACTCTCGTGAGAAACTTCTGTCACATCAGCTGGGCGCTCCGGTTGCATATGGACAAGACAATGTTTTGTAAGGCTACTTTTTTTGTTAAATCGTTTATCACATATTTCACACTGAAATGGCCTCTCTCCAGTGTGTATCAGCTGATGCTGTGTAAGAGCACTTTTTGAAACAAAACATTTTCCACATAATTCACAGAGAAATGGTTTCTCACCGGAGCAGTATCGCAAATGATTTTTCAGTTTAGATTTCATATCAAATGTTTTATCACACTGTTTACATGGATATATTCTTCTTTATTAGGAATTTTAACTTCAGAAGGTTGTTCTTTTTTCGCTTCATCCGAGTCCTCTGCTTTTCCATGAAGAAGAGCGTGATTTTTAAGAGAGCTATTTTTGTTAAATCTCTTATTACACACCGTACACTGAAATGGTTTTTCACCTGTGTGGATAAAATAATGCTGAGTAAGTGTGCTTTTCTCGACAAAACCTTTTCCACAAATTTCACATACATGTCGTTTTTCACCGGAATGCCAACGACAATGCCTGAGCATAGTACTCTTTTGCTTGAACTTTCTGCCACAAACGGCACAAATATAAACTTCGAGCACATGCATTTTTTCTGCATGACAAACATAGTGTTTTTTAAGAGATCTTTCAGCAGCAAACCGTTTTTTACAAACATCACACTCAAACGGCTTTTCTCCCGTATGAACCCTATAATGCTTAGAAAGACAATTTTCTGTATAAAAACGCTTATGACACACATCACATTCACAACGTTTCTCCCGAACACGAGTGCAACTGTGTTTGCTCATTGTATATTCAGATACAAACTTTCTACCACATACAGGACACGTAATGAAAGGTCTCATCACACTATGTAAAGGTTTTTCTTTAGTGTGCAGGACAGCATGTTTTGTAAGAGTAATCTTTTGGTTGAAGCTTTTTCCACACACTTCACAGTTATATGGTTTTTCCCCTGTGTGGATTAAATAATGTTGAGCAAGGCTACATTTCTGGAAAAAACCTTTGCCACAAATATCACACACATGAGATTTGTCAGTATGATAACGCATATGACGATTAAGTTTCAATTTTGTTCCAAATCTCTTACCACATATATCACATGAGTGCATTTCTTCGTCATTTTCTTGTTTACTTTCATTTTCAAGAAGCTCTTTAGTATGGACAATAAAATGATTAGCAAGGGTAGTTTTTTGATTGAAGGTTCTACCACATATTTCGCACTTGAATGGCCTTTCACCTGTGTGAATCAGGTTATGTCGTGCAAGATGGCTTTTCTGAAAAAATGTTTTCCCACATATCTCACATTTTTGGGTTTTTTCAGAGTGACAACGGCTGTGCCTACGCAATTTTGACTTATGATCAAATTGTTTCTTACAAACATCACATGTATAGATCTGAAATGGGTCAGTCTGAGAATGGCAGACACTATGCCTATGTAGAGACAACTCATTCAGAAAAAATTTCGCACATATATTACACTGGTGAATTTTCTCCTCACAATGAATTGCATAATGCTTATCTAGATTTTCTTTTTTTATGAAACACATATCGCAGCATTCACATTTAAAAGTCTCAGGATGAGTTGACAAATGTATGTTAAGTAATTCAAGAGTATCAAATGACTGTCCACAAAGTTCACATACATTATCATTCCGAGAAATTTCATCTCTGCAGTGACTTATGCAATGCTCATCTAGACTGCTTTTGTCTTTAAAACACATATCACAATGTACACATTTAAAAGTCTCAGAAGAATGAGTTAATGTATGTGCACTAAGTTCTTCTTTATTATTAAACGTTTGTTCACATATATTGCATACATCGCTACTCTGTGTTATTTTATTGTCTGATTCAGTTTCCATATTAAAGTTCCCGCACGTTTAGCTGTTTTCAGTCAATTTAGAATTGAAAATTTCTATTAATTATGGTTTTCTAACGATAATATTTCGCCAAAATCTTCCATTTGGATATGTATTTTATTCAGTAAAAATGTAAAATTTTCCACGTTTAGGAGTAATGTAATAACCATCCACTATTATTTTTGTGTAAATTCTGATCTGCCATTACTAAGATACGATTTCGTATGTTAATATCACGGGCAATTTTCTCAAATGTATAACATACAGTCTATTTAAAGGGCCATAGATATAAATAAAATCATATACTAGGCTAAATATTTAGGGTTGACAAGCAATGGCAAGGTACGTACAGCACACTGGTATCAGGACTTGATATAATTTAAAATATTTCATAAAAAATATTTTAAAAGTGAAAAAAAAAAAAAAACAATATTAAAATTTCATAAAAACCTCAAACACGCCTAACCCGTATGTACAAGGACACATGCCCACACGTTTAAATGCCAGATACCCAAACCACATAAGTTACAAGACACCGTTCCAACAAGTGTCTTTCTCCAGCCATCACTCTAGGTTCTTATTGGTTTCTATATCTGACGTCACTTTTTGCATTAAGACAGTGTTCTATGGCAGGATCGAGCTCCTGAAGAGACTTTTCCAAATACAATAAACATTCTCAATGCGACCACGTTTTAAAGTGACCAGTATTTCGAAGAGCAAAAATGGTTGTTTTTGAATTTCTAAAACATAAATTATATCTTTATCTCATCCTGAGATAATTTATATTTCAGATTTATTAATGAAACAAAATACTCTAAATAAGAGGTTCCCAACTGTTTTTTTCTTTCGCATATCCTTATCAGATTTTTCTAATTTCAGAGTACCACAAACGTCCTTCTTTCAGAATTTACTGTATTTCCGATAATGTCAAAGATTTTTTGTGGCAATAGCCACATATCGCCAGAACGCATTGTTATTTATGTTTAGAATTCGAAAACGTGGAATAAACATATTATCTTTGAATATGTACTAGACCGTTTCTTCAGAGCTTTACTATTTTTGAGTTCTTATCAGAGTTTATTTTGATTTATAAGCTGAGTCATCGAAAAAAGAGTGCTTTTTTTTGGGAACATTATAAAATGAAGTAACTATTTTCAGGAAAAAATGAGTTATTCTTTTCCCCAGAATGATTACTTTGAGGCCGCTTTAAAGAAATCTTCGTTGAAAGATCTCAAGTCCAATTGTTGTTCTCACCTTACATGAACAAGTAATGTTTGAACAATCCTTGGAGACTTTTCAAGTAAGTTATTATATTCTCTTTGAATTTATTTGTAAATTGAAGTTCATTTACGGACAGGAATTTGCAAAGTGTCTCGAATATTTCAGTTGGATTATTTTTTAATGCATGATTCTTCTAAATTTAGCTTTTTGAGTATAGAATCGGTTTTGTCAGATTCTTCAAAAACAGTTATGCAAGTTTTCTACAATCCTAAACGAAGTTTATTTTTGGAAAAAAAAAAAAAAAAAATCGAGCAATAGTGCTAGTCCTTGAAGCCATTTCTCATTGCAAAATTTAAAACGTAATTAAAAATAACAGCTCTCCCAAAAGCGGTTAGGGCAGACGTCAGATCTGAACTACTATCCACAAGCTGTTTGTGTGCAAAGATATATTTCTTAACTATTTACTCATTTAAATGAACGACCTTACGTTTAACAACTTTAAAAGAAAATTTCATACTCAAACTTGTTTAGGACAGCTATTTAGCTGACTTGATGATTCGCGCAAAGCTTAAATTTCGTCCATCGGAGAGTTAAATAAGAGCAGCTTTGTCACTTATTTTTCGAAGCCAAATAAAAATTTCAGCATAAAATTTGGTACTATTCCGTTTTGAGGACCGTAAAAGAACTGAAGCGAAAATGTACGCGCAAAAGCGCCAAATCTAACGTACGCGCTGATTTCAGATTGTGTTAGTTTATATAGTTCTATATATCTTAAGACGCCGTTGTAATACTAGTTTAATTTTTAAGTCCTTTTTTGATATCCTATAGATTTAACAGTTTGGGAATTGCCCATGACGAAAAGTCTGCAATAGAATTTTGGGTAAAGGGCACAATCATTCACTGCTTGACGCTTTTTTAAGAATTGCACATACTCGGTATCCATGACATAGACCTATTTTCAATTAAAAAAATCCCAGAATAGCACAAAAATGGCACTGCGCACACCCTTGACTTTATCTACGTACACATCGACCTATTTTCACTTAAAAAAGTAAAAGAAAAGTGACAAAAATCCAAGGTTTCACCTTGTAAAAGCGGCAAAAAATAAGTCGGCGATTCTGCACTGTTACTGAGATTTTTCAAGAAACAGGCTCATTCATTATAGAAAATTATGTTTGACAACCAACGAGATGAATTAGGCTTAGCGATAACTCGGTAGCGAATAGCGATGCAGCATCCATTCAGTTATGTTTAGCAATTTTTATATAAATATAATAATGATCTGAAAAGTTATTTACTCTTATGCTTCCATTCAGTCATGTTTAGCCTTTTTTTTATATAATTATTATATAAGAGGGTATCATATGAAATAACCTTTCATCTAAATTAAAACATCATTCTTAGATAGTTATTTATTATTATATTTCCTTTCTTGCGTTAGGATTGCCTCAAAACCGAATATTACCTAAAATTCTTTCGATCTCTAAAAAATTAATTTTAATATGAAATAAATTTTAGAAATAGATTCTGACATCTGACTGAATGACTGTCTTTTCCTAGGAACTAGCCAGCATAAGCTGAGACTTTAAACAAAGAAAAGCCCCACTCACTTGTCAAAAACATTATTCTCTAGAACGTGCAACAAATTTATGAGACGTGTTTGAAAACGACTAAATTCCTCATTCCTTAAAGTACTTAGAGGTGATCACTTTGGTCATGCAGTCGTATCATCTGATTCGGTGCGAACGGTTTCGATTGCTCTCGATTTACAATAGAATAAGGAAAGGGAACCGTTGTTTATGTTCGTGAATACGCTTCACTTTACAGAGAGCGTAACATAATGAAATTCTAAGATAATGGCTCAAATGTGTGCAACACTCCTTACCGAACCTCTTCCATGACTTCTTACCACTTACAAAATTTACCCAACGATGTAACCAAATACAAAGAAGGAAAACGGCGATTTGTGCAGAACCTTACTTTTATTTCCACCTTGCAGATCACTTCTCTGACTCGAGGGCAAATTTCTCTTCCCTGGATGGAAGTTGTGGAGCAAGAAAATTCACCCCCTCCCCATCCAAGACGAAATCTGACCCTACAAGAAGCGCAATAAATTTACGAGTCTATGTCTGGGAATTTTTTACTCGAAACTGCTAGTAATTATCATACTGGTCACCGCCGTTCCCGCTGATTCGTTATTGGCAGGTTCTAAACTAAACTAAGCTCAGAGGCGCAACAGCCCTAGTGGGCCAAGGCCTGCAGTGCCCGAAATTTGCTTTCTTGACCGTAGGCCCTGGAGTGTATGAGCATATGCGCTGAACAAGTGGTCAGCTTACTGCAGGACCCCCAGTGTTTAGTCTCCAAACGAACTTGGTACTCATTTTATCGACACACTCAAGGGATGAAAGGCTGAGTCAACCTTGCCCAGCCCTAGGATCGAACCCCGAACCTGTGGTGCTGTTGCGCGGTTCGCTAGCCACTGCGCCCCGGACACATATTTCACAAGTGCACATCTGTGTAGCCACCGAGGGAGTGGTTTCTAGGGTGGACCAATGGGCATTCAGTAATATTTCTGTCATGTCACGTGACCTTTCGCGTGCCTTAAGATTTAAACAAGATGGTTGAAAATATTCTGCCATGCAAATTTCTGTACAAAATATTTAAAGCATCGTCGATTTCTTCTGAAACTTTTCATTACTACATTAAATCAAATATAAGCAATTGTGAAGATTTCACTACCTGGTTGAAAGAATTTGAAATAAATACAAACAAATGTTAGATACTACGCAAAAATATCCATGTGAAATATTACTTAATAAGTGAAGAAAGAAATCTGTGATAAACATCTGAGCTCAAAATGCTATCTTTACATAAAACTATCCATATGAGAAAAATATTTACAGCAATTATGCATGTAAATAGAAGTCAGGACTTTTTATTGCAGTCTATATGAAAAAGATGTTCTAATAACCAATGCAGAATTTTATTCAAAGTGAACTTTACTAATTTGGATTCGTATACATTTTAGTGTGTTCAATTTCACATTTAATAACTGCTCACTCTTACATGTACTGTCTACACAAGAAATACTCATCAAACTGAATGAATTTATCTTATTCACAACGAATATATTCAATTTATTCACATAATAACTCTTACTGTTAATAATGGATGTAATCAGATAATACACAATATGTATTTGAAACATACACTTAAAATTCAAAGAATGCAAGCACTGAAAAGAAAAAAAAAAATAAAAAAAAAAAAAAAAAAAAAAAAAAAAAAAAAAAAAAACCACTTGTTCATTGTTACACTTCCAGTCCAAAAAATTATACACTTGAATTCTTAATCCACAGGGTTGTTAGTAAATGTATAAATTCGAAGCTAATTGTAGCGTGAGTCATTTCTCGATGTAAAAGAGGGATAATACGCCGTGAACATCAATCCAAATATTAATGCGTGATGAAATCGCGAAGAAATGTCAGCGATTGCGTGATAAAAGTCGTGAAAAGTGAAATGTCTTCGATTAATTAACTCATATAAAACAAAGTACTACAAGATTTCTACTATTACGCCATACATTTAACTGCGAAACAAATACAAATTAAAACGAAACAACATACGCTCACAGGCTGGAAGATTTAGCGTCACAAGAGAAGCTCATTGGTCCGTTTTCGAAACCCCTCCCTCAGTGGCTACGCTGATGTGCACTTGGGAAATATGCGCCCCGGACTCGTAATGGCAAACTGCACATTGAGTTGATCAATGTTAAACAAATTTCGCTTACTGCGCATGCCCAGAATAGAATTTGGCGCAATTTTAAAAGAAGATAAGTACGGTATATGGTTATCCGGACGTTGTGTTATCTGAGTGTAAACAGATGGGGGTTTTAAAACTTGTTACGGTGAAAGTTGCTTCATTACTTAGAGTGTAAACCCCGCAAATTTTCCTTTAAGAAGAATTGCAAAACAGAAAACATTACAAAATATATTAGCTGATTGCTTATTGATTATACTTCTGAGGAATAAAAGCAACTGAATATTTACCATACGTTCCATTTGTATATACTACTTTAACAAATTAAGAAATTAATCCAGTTTAAATTACTGAATTAAAGTCAAATAACTGATATGAAATGTAATATTTATGAACAAAATAATCCAAAATGAAATGAAATTGCAAATGTAAGAAACAGTAAAACCAACATGATTAACAGGCTTGTGTAGTGTTGCTTATGCCCTTAGTCGCCAGTATTTCCAGCCACGCCAGCGGTACGCCATTGAGCATGCCCAGTAAGCGAAATTCGTTAACACTGATCAACTCAATGTGTGGTTTGCCATTACGCGTCCCGGACCTATGGTGCGCCGATAGAAGCAACGGGCTTCTATCGGCAGGTTCAGTTACCCATGATGTACGACAAGGTGAGGAAGAGGAACCATTGTTTACATTCCTAAATGCGTTCCAAATTACAGCGACTCTAATATAATGAAGAACCAAAGTAAAAGGCTCAAATTAGCACCCCCCCTAGATATATGAAAGCCACGGCGCGTTTTCCAAAAGGAAGTGTGACGTCAATATTAGTAGGGATAACATTTCATTTAACTCCCCCTTCGGTCAGGTATGTGGTGGGTGGATTTTCGGATTTCTGGCGTTCACTCCGCGTTCGTTAGAACAGTCGACTTTCTCTTGCCCTTTTTAGATATTTTAAGAATATTCCATTCTCATATTTTTGTTCTTCAGTGTTATAGATAACTTCTCTGACTGTGTCTCACTTCTCTCTCTCTGTGTTACAGATCATGCGAGCATTATAGATCTGTAACTGTTCTCTCACACGTGCTGTGTACCCAACTGTAAAGGAAACTACCCAATAGTCCCAAAATGCAAATTCTCTCTTTTCCGAAAGGAAAAGAATTGTTTAACAAATGGATTAATGCAGAGAAAAGATGTTAAGACAACAAAATTCTCGAAGGTAAGTTGCTTTATTTTTTTTAATGAATGCTTTTATCCTTATCTGTATTAAAAAATGCTTCTGAGATATAATATAACTATCATGAACTAAAGCGAATACATATATTTATGGAAAGTATAACATTTACGGCTATAGGAAGTTACTGTTATAGGATACTGTTTATTGTTATAGGATTTGCTGTTACTGTTATATGTTACTGTTATATACTTCCTATAACATTTACTGCTATAAGAAGTTACTGTTATAGGATACTGTTTATTGTTATAGGATTTACTGTTACTGTTATATGTTACTGTTATATACTTCCTATAACATTTACTGTTATAGGAAGTATAATAATAAGTGATTATATAAATACGATGATTTATATCATACTGTTGCGTGCGTACGGGTTCGTTACGAAATGAATGCACAAGTCCGATGAAAAATGAACAAAAATTTATTATTATCACAACAAAAATGCTTAAATTTTCTCAAATTATCACGCAGTATTACAATATCTCACAGTAGTTATCTTTTAACTATTCAAATGTCCTATAGAACGTAATTCAAAACAGCTAAAGAACGCTAATCCGCGAATTCGCTACAATCAACAAGAGCAGGTTTCTAAACAACAACAAACTAAGCAATTACTACAAACTGAGGTGTTTTCCACCTTTTATAAGATTTTAAAATCACGCGCTAGAATTTTCCAGTACTTTCTCGAAATCAAAAAGAGATATTTATTTATTTAATGCACGCGCTCTTGTATTTTTAATTTTCCGGCTTAGCTTTCTTCTTTTAATATTCGTCACGCGCTGCACTGCGCGGGGAAATAAAGCCAATTAATTTATAATTGAACTAACATTAGCTTTTTAAATACCAAATTCGTAACAATACTATTTACTTAATTTATAGCAGATAGTATTATTTAACATCATGTTAATAGTTTAATCTATAGCAGATGACATTATGTATCATCATGTTAGTCAGTCAATATTAGTTAGTTTGATTTATATCAGATATTTTTATTCATCAAAACTAAATAAATGTGTGGTTTTACTTTAAATTAGGGTTAGAGTAAATGTAGGCCTAATAAAAATTTGAAACTTTAAATGCGTTTGGTATGCTGCAAAATGCTTGCATTTAAATATTTCAATACATTTGTTACAGCAACAACATATTTATTAAAGTGTGGGAATTTTAAATTATTATAAAACTGGATAAAATCAAAAATACCTTTATTGTTGTCTTTTTTACAAAATTTGTATATAAAATACAGGGTGTCCATCATTAAACTTCACATATGCGAGAAGTCTGTAGCGAAAACTATACAGCGGAATTACATAAAAATTGTGTAAAGGTAGAATGAAATTATGGGAATTTTATTGAGGGGGGGGGAACAATGAGTTTCAAAAACCACTCCTAGGTGGCGTATCATAGCTTTATTGAGAACATATAACTAATCTACAAAAGTTTACAAAATATGCTCGATATGATGTCCACCATTGTCTGCTACCACCTGGAAGCGTATGAAAACAGCATGAACTGGGGAATTTTACGCGGATGGCGTTCTATGCTTTCTTTAAGTTCCGATAGAGATGTGAGGGGATCATGGTAGACCATGGCCTTGAGGTATCCCCACTGCCAAAAGTCGCAAGGATTTAAGTCGGAGGATGTAAGAGGCCAAGCTGTAGGAAATTGCTGGCTGATGATTCTGTCGTCACCGAAATGGCGACGGAGCACTTGTTTCACACAACGGGCGATGTATAGAGGAGCACCATCTTGCATAAACACTGTGGTTGTATCACATTGCCTTGCCTGAGGGAATAACGGATTGCTCTAATAATAAAGCGAATCGTTGACCAGTGACGGTGCATGTCACAGAACCTACGGCACTGTGTTCTTCGGGGGGGGGGAAATTAAAAAAAAAGTCTGAAATGTTTCAGATTTTAAATTACGTCCAAAGGGGCGTTTTTTAACATTTTGTGTGTTACCTTTCTTTATTAAATATCATGTTCCTCGCACTTAAACCATAAGATCCAGTGCAACAGCAATATCGCAAAATAGTTTTAAAACGAGCCTATCTTTAGAATTTCCGATACAGAGACTGACGCGCTGGAGATAAAAATGTTTTTTCTGAACAACGTTGCCATTGCTCGCTTTGAAATCCTTGAGTTTGTTAATCAAAAATTCGTCAAAGTTTTAAAAAATAGGAAATCGATCATAAAACAAATTTCAAATTTCAAATTTGGTCTTCCACATGCTCATATTCGTTGGAGGATTACGTTATTCAAAATTCGATGACTCTATGTACCGTTGTTTTATCACAATACGAGAAATATACATACATTTATGCAGATTTTTCATTATTTAATTTCTTCAAATATAATGCAGGACTCTAACATTTTGTGGCAACAGTTTGAAAAGTGAACCGACATTTATGAGTCCGACGCAAAATGCCAAAACGAAACTAATAGTCCTTCGGGATTCAAATCCCTTTGGACTAAAAAGAAAAAGGAAAAAGGACCCACAATGAAGGTTGTAGTAAAGCTGCACCAAACCGTTACATGCGAAAAGAGTGTAATGGAATTTTTAGGAATTGATGTCGGTTCGTACAACAGAAGCCTACCTGCTCTTAGTTTATAAGGTATTTCTCCCACTTTCCTAGCGTGCCTTCGTGGTGTAACGGTAGTACGCTGGGCCGGTATTCCAGAGGTCCGTGGTTCGATTCCCGGCGAAGGCGTTTGCTATTTTTCATCTTTTCTGTTCCAATTAACCTAATGACTCTACAAGTTTAACAACGTCACAAAATGTTGGCTATTTCGATGGAATGCTTCACTTTTAGCGCGGGTTGGTCCCTCCTCCCTTTCCTACCTCCATGGCTATCTCGATGGGGTGCGAAAGATAGCCTCTTCGGCTCAAGGCCATCCAGATGGCATGAGCAAATTAGGGAAATCGTGAGATGACGCGTTAATGAACCAAAGCGTTGTTTAAGTAGGTTGAATGTCTGCTTACTTTAATCTTGATATTTTTTTCCGTTTTTCATTATGCCATTGTGTGCCGTTATGCCAAATATATTTTAATGATGGCCCTAAAGTGTCAGTATATACATTTCCTAAACAACAAGATGCATATCGCGAGAAAATTTTACCATTTCGAAGTATTCTAGGGTAAGTTAAGCCTAACTTGAAATTTAAATTTATTAAGGTAATTGCTTCTACGTTTCTTTAAAAGAATGGATACGTTAATATTAAGGAATTTCATTTCAATATACCATTGTGTATAATATTGTGTAAAGTAATCACGTATCATTTAGTATAATTATGTATCGAATTGTATGGTTAATAATTAGGTATCGAACTATATGCTAAATATTCACTCGATTTTTGAAATCTCCAATTTTTTACTTTTTGATTACTTTTATAACTTGGAGCTTTAAACTTCATACGTATATAGCAGAAGATGAAAGTATTTCATTTAATATTTAATATATTTTTGTATTCTAAGTTTTTGTAAAGAGACTGTGAAGGGAATAAATATGCTTATGTTTTTTTTTTTTAAATTGTAATATAAAGTTTTGCATAAAATAAGAAATAAATACCCAAATGCATGAAAATTGAAATATTATTAAACCTTACGTCACTAAGAATCCTCCCCCCCCACGAGTGGGCAATAAATACACATATGCTTGATATTACCTGTTTTGTTAAAAAATAAATCGCATTACAAGAAATTTTACTTTTATTACTTTATACAAATTAATTTAAGTAGATCTATTTTTACATTTGCCGGATTTAGGTCTGTGAACTACATTTCCATGAGAAAGATTTGCTTTTTGAGAAATACGATGAAAAAAACGGGGAAAAATAGAAGTTACATTAAAACAAGTACGATTGTAAGGAAAAGCTGTTCTCTCAATTTTCAGTGCTTGCTCCAAATACTATTTGTCTTCAATAAAATTATTTCGTAAAGAGCCGCTGAAGAGAGAAGAGAAAATGACTAACTACTATTTTTATTTAATGTTAATTTTAGTATACAGTAAAACTACAGTATGAATGTAATAAAATTAAGCACATTTTGAGAATGTTATTATGTTGTTATATGGTAAAATGACAGCAGAAGGGAAAAAAAATTGTGAATTTCATTACGGGAGGAGGGAAAGGATGGAGTGTTAATGCAAGGAACTTCCGGTATCGTATTTTGTCATACCACCTTTCCTGACTTAATTAGGCTCTACCACGTACACTCTGGTAACGAGGATTGGAAACCTCGGCTGACACCTTGCTATTTACTAAAAATAAGAAAGAACTGTAATACAATTTGTGTATATACGTGTGTATATAGAGTTAGTTTCTTTAAGGGAAACTTTTGCGTTTATAAATCTGTTCTGCTAAAATTTAAGGGGGCTCATACACCTTAAACCCCTTATGATCTTCGAATAGTGATTGTTGTAAGAATTGGAATATTTTATTTATTTTAAAAGCCATTACTTCCATTTCTTACAGCTGACTCGATAATATAGCTGCTTTGGGAACTAGTAACCAGAAAGTTTGTGTTGCCACAAATATTTTTGTAATTTAATCCGCTTTGTGACAAAATTTTTCGTCATGTTTCCACCTTGCGCGCATGATATTTTAAAAATGGCTAATGGTACATTCTGGAAATTGGATGGAATTCTTTATATGAGCACTATTTTTTAACTGAACCAAAAATCTGATGAATATTTTAATATTAAACAATTTCATGCACGAAAATATTACAGATTTTTTTTAATAAAATACATTTTATAAACTCAATTCCAAATAAAATAAAAACTTAACATGAAATTCTTAGAATTTTTGGTTCACAGTAGTTTCCAAATGTTTTAAAAGCTATATATTAAATATGAAATTAAATTATGAAACAGAATGTTTTAAACTGTGCGCGCAAAGTGAAAACATGACGAAAAATTTTGTCACAAAGCGAATTAAATTATAAAAATGTTTGTGGCAAAACAAACTTTCTGGTTACTATTTCAGAAAGCAGCTATATTATGTAGTCAGCTGTAAAAAGATAGAAGTAATTGCTTTTAAAATAAATGAGTTATCCAAATTCTTGCAACAGTCACATATTCGATGATCTTATGGGTTTTAAGGTGTATGAGTCCCCTTAAAAGCTTCGAATATCCTTAAAAATATTTCTATACATCCTTCCAATATACTTTTAATGCAGTTAAGTGACTTAAATATTATTAGTATAGAGGGAGATTCTAACTTTTCATTAATGTTACTTATTAAAAGCCAACCATTAAAGCATTATTTTAACTGTAAACGTACAATATAAGAGCACAAAAATTAATAATAAATAATATATTTTGTGCATATGAATATCTTTCCTATATTATATCCGCAAATGAATTGAAAATATATATCTTCCTTCCTCTCTTTCTATTTCTATATACAAGGAGTGATCAAATGAAAAGGTACGAAACGACACAGTGAGTACAAATGTAGACTTTATTCAAAATATACACCATAGGCCTGAGCACAACGATCCCACTGATGAAAAAGCCGCAGGATTCCCTGTTCCCAGAATTCCTGTGGCCCTGACGAGATCCAGTCCTTCACAGCGTCCCTGAGTACGTCGTCCGAGTTAAAGCGCTTCCCTTTCAAGTGTTTCTTCAGTGGACCAAACACATGGAAATCGCAGGGCGACATGTCCGGACTGTAGGACAGATGGTCCAACGTCTCCTACTTGAACTTTGCCAGTTCCATGTGTGTGACTCTGGAGACGTGTGGACGCGCGTTATCATGGAGCAGAACCACACCTTCCGTGAGCAGCCCCGGTCTTTTGTTCTTGATGGACCTCCGTAACGTCGGAGTGTCTCACAGTACACATCGGAGTTAATGGTTTTTCTATGCTCGAGGAATTCCACAAGTAGCGGACCTCCAACGTCGAAAAAGACGGTGAGCAACACCTTGCCTGCTGACGGCACGGCTTTGAACTTTTTAGGGGGAGGTGACGACGCATGCTTCCACTGCATGTCCACTTTGTCTCTGGCTCGTAGTGATGTCACCAGGTCTCATCATCTGTGACGATCCGCTCCATGAAAGCGGGGTCTTCCCGGTACCGAAACAGATGTTGCAGTGCTAGCCCCATGCGCAGTTCCTTTTGCTTGTCGGTGAGCTGCTTCAGAACCCAAGGGGCACACACCTTCCGATATCGCAACCTGTCGTGAACAATTGTCCACACGGTTCCATAGTTGACATCCACCTTCACCGCCAACATTTGCAATGCGACACGCCGATCACTTCTCACTACGTCGTCCACCTTGTCGATGAGATCGCTCGTGATGACAGCGTTTGCCTCACCCACGCTCTCACGACCTGCACAAAAACGGGCACTCCATTTTCTGACACTTGTCAGAGACACATTTTTTTCCCCGGAAACTGTCACCATTCGGCGATGAATAGCTGCCGGTTTCTCACCTTCTACTGACAGAAATCGGATAACACCTCACTGCTCCTTAATCGTCGAATTTTGCAACGCGAACGCCATCTTGTCCTCATACGGACTGCCGCATCATTTGGACGCCGCTTTTGATAAAAGCCTCTGCTTTCTCCTGCGCATGTGGGCGCCCGCGCATGCTCCGATCCCAGTCAGAGACTCCAATCGCATCCCGAGATGTCTCGCTACCTGCTCCCATGGCGGAATATGCAAATATTTAATAGTTACGTTTTTACGTCGTTCCGTACCTTTTTATTTGATCACGCCTTGTATATATACAGTAAGACCCCGCTTAACGCGGGGGATACGTTCCATCAAAGTAGAGCGTAATGCAAAACAGCGCTAAACGAGGCTATCTTTACATGTAAATATTGGGGTTAGGGGAAGATGGCTAGGAAATTGGTTAGGTATTAAATTTAAAAAGTATGTTTTTTTAATAAAAATAAAACCAAACATTTATTTCTTAAAGCCCAAATTAATACCACATTATTATTTCTTGCAAAAATAAAAACAAAATATAAATAACAAAACGAATATTCTTAAAAAAAAAAAAAAAAAAAAAAACAAATAAAATTCTAAGTCAGTCATATTTAGTTAGCCTTCCGCGTTTTCAGTGTTCTGCCTTTTTGTGACAAAAGCATCTAATGTTGTTTGCCTTTTTCTTTTGCGTTGTTGTCTTAAAAGTTCTTCATAAACGGATAGAGCATCTCTAACACCACGCCTTACTTTTGAGCTCCTGTCAAAATTCGGATCATTTTCAATGAATGGATCCATTATTTCAGTTATGGTAGACAAACTCCTTTTACAAACGCCATCGAAATTTCTTTTTGCTCTTCTTTCTTCTTCTGAATCACTGCTGTCAAAATTTTTTGTTTCTTTCTTCTTGTTCAGTTAATTCCTTGAGCTCATCATTAGAAAGACTAGCCGCTGCTTCTTGAATTGAATGTTTCCAATAATAAAAATATGTCTGTACAATACCGCACCAAACAAGAAATACAAGTGCACTCTTTCGGACATGTATTTGAAACCTATCGCTGCATAATATTTCGGGGAATCCCCGTATGCTGCGAGCGATTTCGTGGAATCCCCGTATGCTGCGAGCGATTTCGTGGAATCCCCGGGTTGAAATAAAAGAGCGCTAAACCGAAACAGCGCTAAACGAAATAGCGTTAAGCGGGGTCTTACTGTATATATAAAGTAAAAAGAAAGAAAAATAATATGTATCTAAATCATTAGAAGAAACCATCTTTTTAGCAAAGCTTTAAAAACACATATACTTTTAAGACAGGTAGTGGGTAACCAACCGCGATTGTCAGCCGCCAGTTTGTGACATCACGATCTGGTGATTGGGCTTCTGTTTAAGAAGGTGTTGGTTTGTGGCAGCCCAAATACGGAAACTGTGCGTGTTGCGGGTCAGAACTGGTTTTATTAATCCGGTACAGGCCGGGTTTGCTCCGTATTAACCGAGATAAAACTAGTTCAAACCGTTTAATCCGGCTTGTACCGGGTCAAACCGGTATATTTCACTATCAATTAATTAAGTTCTCACTTCGCAATACTAAAGTTCATATAACCTCAAAATATGTTTATCAAAAACTGGACAATATGAAAAAAATATAAAACACAAAATGCGGTTAAAAAAATAAAAAGCCAATTTTTACAATGAAAATTAGGATTTCTACGCAAAAGCAAGCAATTCGGCCAGTGAGCAAGAAGCCAGATTTTTCGGTGCACAAAACTGAAATTTTACTTTTCGTCCCATTCAGCAAAAAGACCCTGAAGGTGCAGAAACTGAGTTAACTATTCTGCTAATTTCAAATGTAAACAACTATGTTTGCTATGATAAAAAAAAATTTAGGCTTAACCGCACTTAAACAACTTTTAAATCGTTGACAATTCTGAAGCTATTGCATGCAGATTAACTAAAGGCATAAAATCTTAACCGGGAGATAAGAAAACATAATTCAATCATTTAAATGCAAACAATGTTGATATATATATATATATATATAATTTATTTCCTAAACAATATTGATTAATTGATTATATTATCTTCTAAGTTTAATTAAAGTAGAATTATTTTAAAAGAGTGAATCCATACTGGTAAGTTATATTTTGAAAGATGTTTTGAAGTAATTTGAAAGCAAAACGTTAATAATGTTTTAACGGGGTCTGGAGTTAAATCATCTCTCTCTCTATATATACCCACTCCGCATATATATAATATTGTATGCGTTTAGTGCAGGCGATTGCAACCAAAAAGGGAGGTCCACCACTATATATTACAGCAGTCCTATTGACTAAATTTCAAAGTTCTGAGGCTACTCGTTTTTGAGTTATGTGAGATACATACGTACAGAAGTCGCGAAAAAATCTCTTTTGAATCCATTTTAAATCAACTTTAAAATCCATTTGGGAAAAAGTGTCCTTAAGTACGGATGTCACGCAAAAACATTGTTAAGGTATCTGCCTACGTTCGGAGCACTTTTTTTTAAAAACATAGAATTATGATGAAATAAATATTTATTTAGTCAAAATATGATATCAAATCATGAAAATAGGTAAATTTTTTAGGAATAGTTTCATAAATTTTTGAAATATATGCAATTTTATGCACATTTTTAGGAGAATTTAATACTTACGTTAAATGTCGTATATTTTTTCCCCACAGCATATATTTCAATTTTATTTATACTGTATACTACTGCAACACTCATCTGTGTTATGAACTAAAATGTTTATGATATTTCTAAAATTTACTAAAATGTGTGTAATTACATGAAAAAAACACAGTTTTTTGTAAAATATCGTTTTATATAGAAATACTTGTAAAACAATCACATTAATAAATATAACTTAGATTGTAGCTTAAAACCTAGTAAATAATATGGAAAACACTTTAGTGAAATTTAATAGAGATACCTTTAGAACATTTTGAGTAATTACATTTCTTGTATGTAAAAACACTAGAAAAATTAGTTTTCCAGAAAACGCATTTAAAGATTTCACATGAACAGAAAAACTGTTCTGTTGTATTTACACACTTAAAATTCTCCACATTTGTACATCACACCCTCCATATCTTTTATACTTAAGTAATTTTGATTTCCTATTTGATTAAAATTTTTTTTCTGGCTATTTTCGAAATGAGCGACGAATGACGTTTCGAGTTCTTTTATTCTTTCGTTATCAATTCCAAAGTAATTTTTAATCATTTCTTGTTCAATTGATATGCCTAAATGTTCAAACACAGGAAGTAATCCGAGATACCCTGAATTAAAAATTAAAACTGCTATATATGCAACCAGCAACATAGTCTTTATACCTAATCGCAATGTTGCCAGACCCAGTTCAAAAACCGCAATGTTGCCAATCCTAGTTCAAAAAATTAAGGCAAATAATTATTACCAGAAACAGAAAAAAAGTACGCAGAGTTAAAATGAAATGTTTTAGCACAATTTTACACACAAACAGGTAAAAAAAAAAAAAAAAAAAAAAACACGGATAACAACATTGTTTACCTTTAAGTTAAGCCTTTTGAATGGCACTTCCGGTCTTTCTGCTTTCACTTCCAGTGCAGTTAATTGGCTATATTTTGTTTTCTAATTATCACAAACGTAAAAATGAACCATTTTCGGAATCCTACAAAACTGACCTTTCAAATTGGGCAATTAAAAAAAAAAATCGAATTTTTTCACCGAAATCGTTTTCTTAACGTAGGTCTTAAATTGCATTCGATAGCATTAAAAATGGAATTTTTCTTTGAAATATGATACCTGTAATTTTTCTCGATTTCAGTACTTCCTTTACTTCGTACAAGGAACTAAAAAAAGCACTGCTTTTTGTGTGAATCATTCAGTTTTTCATAGCTAAAAATACTCTAAAATTACTCTAAAAATTTACTATTAAATAAATTTACTATTTACTATTAAATTTAATTTAGCTATTAATTTAACTACTATTAAATTTACTATTTACTATTAAGTATTAAATTAAAATACTCTAAAATTTTTTTATTGTTTCATATCTGTATTTAAACAGTAGAGGACGAAATTGTCCATTCCCAGCATGAGGATTACTCTGAACCATTTGTCACCTTAGCAGCAAAGCTTCAAATTACTAGGCCTTGTATGTTTCAAGGTTTTCTTGGGGGAACATTGGCCATTTGTAAATGACAATTATACGTAATATAGAACTTTGAGAATTCGATGTATTAATAAATATTCATGCAGTAGAATGAACCAACATTAATTCAGGTTAAAAGAGCTTGAATACTTCAAGAAAATCAATGATATATATTTCTCTGGAAAAATCGCGTGCAAGAACTAAGCTTTACAGCATTATTTATTTCCATTAACGCAAATTTTGCATTATACACTTTGCTTTTAAAAGCAATATTAATTCTAGAAGTTAAAGTATTGGTTGAAGGCTCTTTAAGAATGGTGCGTGTTTGTGAGGGAGGAGAAATGTTTCGCTAAGCTGAAATTAATGTTATTTGTCATTGGTTTCTAAGCAAATTTCTGAGCAAACGCTGAAGAATTAGAACTACGGTGTATGCGGAGTACGATGTAAAGTAAGTTGAGGCATACTCTTGTTTTGCTATTAATGTAGACTTAAATTTAAATTCAAATTTTGCATTTTCTGTATTTTTGTATAATATAATATATATTATATACTATATCAGATGATATAGTATATATATTATATACTATAATATATATACTATATCAGATGTAGAATATATATATTCTTAATTCTTCATTTAATTATACTTTTGTCATTCACTTTAAAGAGAAATAAGAGAAGTGATATGATTTAGAAACATTTTACAACAATGTCTTGATGAATAAAAAAATTGTTTTTAAATTCTGAAAGCAAAGGATTTAGTTCTAGAAAAGTCTGTTAACTAAAAATAAAGAAGCATTTTATTTTTACCCCTGTATAATTTATAA